CTTTGTAGACAAACACACACAGGATGAAGGAAAACCCTTTAATACAAACACACACACACACATTCTCTCTCACACTCAGGAGTTTGCGCTCAGTGAAAGCCCCGTAAGCCAGCCACACACACACACACACACTAGAGATGTTAAGATTCACCGATTCGTATCGGTGCACCGGCATAAACGTTCTCGATGCGAGTGCACATCGGCTACAGTTTGGGTTGAACTCGCGATGCATCGATTGTAGCGTCTTTGCATCTGTAAAAAAACGATTACTTCGTATAATATCCTGTCAGCACTCCGCAGAGACGATCTTTGATCTTTGCTTCGCCACTACGGAGGCCGAGAGTCTCAGTTATCAACACACATGGAAGTCGAAGAGAAAGAGAAACACAGCGCACATAAATATACCTACAAATCAAACGTTTGGCAACACTTTGGATTTTTCAAGAAAGACGGTCAGCTTGAAAAATCGCTCGCAAATTGTAAACAATGCCGTGCCGCTTTAAAGTACACAAGTAGTACGAGGAACTTAGCGACGCACACATAAAGAGGCGACATGGGGTCTGCGGCTGAAAAGAAAAACCTGAAAGTAAGACATGAGTTAAATCACTGAGGTTTTCTGTCAGAGAGTGGTGTTTAGTTTACAGCATACTGTGACTTCCAATAATAGTTTAAATGTCTTCCCTACTGTAAGCAGTTATGAAATACCTGTTTGTGAAAGGTTATTAGTACTTTCTATTGTTCATATAGAGACCTCTGCTCACTGGTGAGTGAGTAATGAATGAGTGTTAAGCACATCAGGCTGGCAGCTGTATGGGCATTGCACTATGGTAGTTGTTATTTGCACATTGTTAATCATGAGCAATGCATTCTTAAATTGTTTAACTGTGAGGTGTTATACAATTATACTGTACTCTGGAGAGTTTTTTAAGGTAAAAAAGAAACGGCATGATGGGATGTGCAGTACTATAGAGAGAACCAAATATGTAAAGCACTTTTTTGTTAATTTATGATTTGCTGCATATGAGGAATAAAACAAAAATCCTCTGTCGTACCATATTGAAGTATCATTATTTTTGCATCGTGTTGAATCGTATCGCCCCGAATCGCATAATGTTGAATCAAATCGTATCGAACTGTATCGCAACAGGGGTGAATCGTATCGTATCATATCGCATCGCCTGGTGTTTCAAATGTATCGTTGGCAACGTATCGCATCCATTTGACATGAGACTTATTGCGATTTCAAAACTCACCTGCGATTCATCGTAGGAGATGGAATCATATAGGATAGTTTTTATCCTAGCTTACTGATATGGTTTTAAGTTACAACCCATTAAGAGAATGGTTCGGATAGAAAGTTAGCACATGTTCTGTAAATGATAACTTCTCTAGTTTTATTTATATGTGATGTCACTGAATGCATATCTGCATTTCCCTAACAGGTGTGACTCCAGTGCGTCCACCCTTACCAGTGCTCCCCCAGGTTGGTCTTGTGAACCCAGTGCTCGCTTCACCGCCAGTCCTTTCCAATCAAGCTGGAGGCTCCAACCAACAAGAGAGGAAAGAAGAGAAAGAGAAAGAGGAGATGCTGCAGGACGGTACAGGGCAGGAGATGTTGAGTGACCAAGAACACATGAGCATCTCGGGCAGCAGTGCCAGACACATGGTGATGCAGAAACTGCTTAGAAAATCAGAGGTAAGCTTTGGTCGTATGTGGTGAAAGAAGAGCCTTTAAAAGACATTTCAGTAGCAAATACTTTTTACTTGTAAAATTATTGCGTTGCTCCTTTCTAGTCTACGGTTATGGTGCTCCGAAATATGGTTGGACCTGAGGACATCGACGACGACCTGGAGGGGGAGGTGACCGAAGAGTGCGGGAAGTTTGGCGCCGTCAACAGAGTCATCATATACCAGGAGAAGCAAGGAGAAGAGGAGGATGCAGATATCATTGTCAAAATTTTTGTAGAGTTTTCCATGGCCTCAGAGATGAACAAAGCCATCCAGGCCCTCAATGACCGCTGGTTCGGAGGTCGCAAAGTTGTCGCAGAGGTGTATGACCAAGACCGTTTCAACAGTAGTGATCTCTCTGCGTAAAAGTGTTTGTAATGGTTCACCAGCACCCACCCCCATACCTGTCCCCTAAACTCATGTCAGTCTCTGCAGCTAGAGATGCGGACCACTGAAACTTGTAATTATGTTTTTTTTTATTTGTTTTTTAAAATTGCTGTTGATATTAATGTTAAATGCCCCATTTGGGGGGGGATTCATAGAAAAATATTTACATGTCAGATTTTGCTTTGTTGATTGTGGAAACTCCCTTTTTTTTAATGCAAGTTTCAATTTTTTGTAGTCCAAACTTGTAACATGTTCATTTTCCCTGCTTTCGCTCATTTACATTTTCCGTTCATTAATTTTCTGGGACAAGTTAACACATCCTTTCTATGATTAAAGGCTATTGTTTGTTCCTAAGAAAGTGTGATGCAGTTTTTATTTTGTTAATGAATAAAGAATCCTTTGTTTTGAGATAATTAGTTGTGACTGATTGTAGAACATATTTAAAAAGTAAAAACATGTACTTTTACTTATGCATGCGCATTTATAGTCCAATCGGGTATTGGTCATTCTCAAATGCCACTGCGTTTGTGGTTAGTACAGGTGGTGAACAACTTCTGAAATAGTAATATAACACTTCCCAGACTTTGAATAGATACATATTTACTTAATGATCATTCAAAAACGATCAGCTAAGACAGTCTTCTAGATTTCTGACATTTTTGGGACTATTTGACAACTGCATATTATTCACCTCTTAGTTGCCGTAGGTTTTATTTTTTAACCTGCTTCACCGGTAATGAGTTTGTATTGTCTCGGATGCATTGTTATCATGTCACTTGAGTAGGTAAGTTCATATTTGCCAAGTTTGTTTAGCCCGGCATCTCTTTACAATAGCATCATTTGAGATTGTCACCTACTTGCTACTCAGTGAAGGGTGAATAGCTTGTAGATGGATGTTTGACTTCTGTGTTCAACAAATCAAATCATCGGCTATATGCATGGTTTTGTTCACGTCTGTCCTCAAAGACCATGGACCTGGTTACACATTTTGGTAGAGCTATTCCCTGTTTCGGACACAGTAATGTACACTGTCTCCCTGCATTGCACACAACTGGAAAGTCCTGCCATTTCTAGTCATGTAGCAAGAATAAAGCAACCGTTGAAGACATGTAACAAACTCGAGGACATTAAATGATAGGCAGTCATATTTTAATAGTACTTTATTATGGCCTGGTTTTTTCATTAAACAATATGATAGTACTGTGTTGTGTATACATTTAAGCCAACTGTCATCCAACGCTAGATGTCGTTGTACAGTAACGGAACTGCTGCCCAGCCGCCAGTAGTAGTGGCCTGTACTCCAACTCAAACTCGGCCCAGCCCCCCACAGGACAAACCGGCCTGCCTCAGCGCAACAAGGGGAGTGATGCGCGGCTGTTGCTGAAGCTCCTGGCTGTAACTACGTCGCATTAAAACAACACCAGGCAGTTTATTGTACGTCTACTGGCATGTTGCCACTTCACTCTTTGGCCGGTTAATAGGGTGTTTTCCGTAACGTTCGTTATACTTATATTAGTGAGCTATCGGCAGCTAGGCACAAAGGCGTTTAGAGAGCTACTAGCCGATGTTAGCTAACTGTAACTAGCATGCTAACAACACAGCCGCCGAGAACGAGCACATCCTTGCGCAGCCACACTCGGGTTAATCTCTGTTGACTCGCTCCGTTGGTTATGTTAGCTGTTTCATGGTAGTCATTTATTTGAAACCTAAGTCAAGTGTTTTTTTTTTATCAGCTACCACTCATGACTAGGATACTTGAAGCAACACTTAAGTATAACTGGTTCGTTTGCTTGTTTTTCAGCTAGCCAAGGCACTGCTTTGGTCTCATTCAGGGATGTGGTGGTAGCAAAACAAGCTAACGTTACTCCCCTCTGTGAAGAAGTGACTGCAAGAAGTGAGGAAAAACTGAAGGCAAGCGGGAGTTTTTATTTGTGTTTATCTTTCATTCCGGTGTGGATGACACGAGGACAAACCTGACAAACATAGTTGAACTGAAACTGGGAATATCACTAACAGGTCGAAGGGATTATTTTGGTGTCTCTAAGTGGATTTCGGCCTCTTGTTGGGGATCGTCGTGGGAACACCGTGAGTGTTTTGACATTGAGTGAGTCTACACGCAAAAAATATCCCGCCGACCTTCATCCTCCGATGCGGAGATTTCATTAGCACCGGCAACCAAATCCCCCCGGCGGCCGGACATGCTGAAGTGTATCCCCCTGTGGCGTTGCAACCGCCACGTCGAGTCGGTGGACAAGCGGCATTGCAACTTGCAGACAGTCCCCGATGAGGTATTCCGCTACAGTCGCAGCCTGGAGGAGCTTCTCCTCGATGCCAACCAACTCAAAGAGCTACCAAAGGTATGCATGGCTAACAGTCCAAAATGTACCCTCTGTGTCATTCAGCAATGTGCATCATTCCCCTGAGCCAAGCTGGCTATAGTGTCTCCTTGTGCATGATACCCTGGTTCTGTCAAATTCATTCTACAGCACTAAACAATTGCACATATTTCAATGTGTTTAATCCACATATTTAATTAGAAAAGTGTACCCAAGGTGAAATACCTTGCATGATATAACCTGCTCATGTAATTCCTTCTCATCAAAGGTAGCATACTTCTTTCTTTGCCTCCTTCGAATATGTTTGGCCATTGCAGTCTTGTGCAGTCTTGTGACATCAATGAATAATCAAGAGCCATAACGTATCCAACAGTTACAATATAAACTTGAATCTTGAATCATACAACTAGGTAATCCAGTTCATCTTTGCATGGGGGTGTTTTTCCCCAATAATACTTAGTAAGTTGTGTAAAGATGAATGGACAAGGCACGATAGGATGTTTTAGTTAGTCGAAGAGAATTGTTCTTTGGCTAAAGGTTGGGTATGCTGCATGTCCAGAGGGACTGACCCTGACCAAAACAGCTGGCACACAACATGTTGCCTAGTAATGGCATCACTGGACAGTGGGTTGTATGCAGTGTGGGAAGGCATGCGTGGAATGAATTGAAACGGTTTCCCCACCCACACACCCACTGTTTGAAAAATGAGAACTGAAAAAGTTCTCTCTGTGCATCCAGAGAGTTTATTTTTAGGGTAGCAGAATTGTTGTAGGTCTTTCTTTCCATAGCTCTCTCCAGAGATGGTGGACAAAGCACTTTCTCGGTCAACTTTCTCCCTGTTTTATTCAGTTCAGCAATTGTTTATTATTGAGACATGTCTCTGGCTGTGATTGTGATGGAGCTGGGAGTTTGAATGAATACACTGATCAGTAGTAGACGTTGTCAGTCTCATGTTTCTTGGCTTTTACTTAGGGGCGAAGGGGCAAGTGGTTTGTTCACTAATGTTCATCCTCTGTTAACAAGTCAAGGTCAACAGAGGATGAAGTGTTGACAGGACCACCTGTTTCTTTCTTGGAACAATATAACTTATTTTTCTAGCATCCCCAGGCTTTGACGTAAGAATACTTGTTTTAGATCAGCTCTTGCTGCTATTTCTTTTTATAAAATGTGTGTGTATAACTTCTCTTTGGACCCAAACTTGGCTCTTGCATGAACAATTTGTTCACAGATGCCAGGGAGCCACTCATGAAGAAGACACACATACAGTAGCTGCAGGATATTTAAGTGTAGTTACAGCACAAAAGCTTTGCCTGATGAGGCTTACCTGCGGACAGACAGTCTGTTTCCTCCACTTAGTTCAACTGTGTCAGATATTCACATTGTACCTGGAGCATGGCCCCTGAAATCCTGCTGAGTGACGGATACACCCAGATATTCTGGCGCAGACTGCTAAGCTAACCGACACAGTCTCTGTGTGATGCTGGCTTCAACCAGGAGACATAAATGCGGGCTGACACAATGTCTCGTTTGGCTGCAGTGAATGCGTAGCGTGCAGACATAAAGCATACGGGCTCTCTCGGGTCCTCGGAGTCAGTGGGGCTTCAGCGAAGGAGCCGTGTGAGAGGTCAGGCCCATACAGGGTTAGGAACAAGGGCACTGACTGTATGATACATAATGAGCTCATAAGTGAGTATGGGTCTGAATGCCTTTATGCTTTTGTGTCTTTTCTTGTCACTGGGTATTCAGGTCAAAGATGAGTCTTTGGCTTCGTCAGTCTATTTTTCAATTTCAGTCTTAACATCTTGTGTTATACAGTTTTTTTGTATGTATTTGAATGAGCACCGTGTGGACGCATTGCGGCATGCAACCAGCATGTGCAACATATGCCATAGATAAAGAATAATCGGCTCAGAGGGGACACCTTCGCAGACTCACTTCTTTTATAGGGGGGCTACAAACTGCCCTGGTACACAGTCACAAGCTTACCGGGCTGCCAAGCAGGGGATGTTATGTATACAGTAACATTTTATACACAAGCAAAATCAATACAGCCATTAAGATGCTTTTAAACACAGGGAACTGGTAATATGTTTTATATTGATAAGACCATTAAAGCAATTGTGATGTGTATAGGTATTTTTTATGGTGCAGCTAGAGGTGGATAGGTCTCGTATTGAGGGGGTTTAACGAAGTGAACAGATGGAGATTTAGACGCCCTGACAGTTTCTTAAGTTTGTTGTGACTCACCCCCACCTCACTGCCCACCAATCTTAGATAATGCTCTCTGCTGTAACAATGTCTCCATTTGCCACATGCTTTGTAAAAGACGAAATGAAAGAATGATGTGTGGGTCTGATTGATTTTCGGGCCAGATTCTATCCAAGCTGGGATTATACTACTTAAATAGTAGCATTTATTATGACCTTTCTGTATGAAATTAGTTTAGAGAAGCCTTTTTTAATTAAGCAGCAGGTCGGGAATTCCCCAAAGGCCTGTATATCCTTAGCCCTTAATGCTGGTCACAGCTCTGTTTACTCATTGCAAAAAATTCTCAGGTAGCAGGTTTCAGTTTTGCTACTCGGACATTTACTTTGCAAGTTACACCTTAGTGAACATTGAGAAAAAATGAATGACTTTATAATTACATTTTTGTTATTTAACTTGGCACACGTCAATGTCACGGGTGAATCTCTTGGTTGCTCAACCTATTCTGTCAATTATTGACAAATTGCTTGTGATAGTCTGGTTAAAAGTACATGTCCCACAATTCACATTTTCCTATACGGTTCTGTGTGACTCTTCAGCTGGGAAGTTTGCAATAAAGCCATCTAAATGTCTCTTCGCTGCTCTGGCAAACTAGCTGTGCCTCAAAGATCATGTTGAGGAAGAGGGAATTATCTTTTTGGCCATTCTCAAGTCCCATGACAGGTTACAAAGAAGTCCATTCACATGTCTGATTGACCCCCCTCCCTCATATCCAATGTCATGGCTCTTTGTGTTCCTTTTGTGCACTGCCCTTGACCAGGCGTACATTAAGTCTGCAAGCATATCGACTGAAATGTTCACTTTTAGGATTTGTTTTAGGTCAGTTGCACCTGCTCAAAAGCACAAGTAGGACCCTATTCAGAGGGGCCAGGTGTTCTGCAGGTGCAGTAGACAGCAGCCTAAAAAATGCCTTATTTTGGTTTTCCATTGTTGAAATAGGGAACATATCCCTGATGGGTGTGTCTCCATTAGATTTGCAAAACAGGTTCTATGCATGTTGCTCCCAGTATTATTGCCTAATAGGATCTTGCAGATACACTGATGATATGTTACAGTTCCTGTATCAATATAAGAACTGTTGCAAATGGGCTATGAGAAAAATGTGTTACCGGCGCTATCGGCAACTAATGCCATAGTTACACAAGTAGTTGGAGAAAATACGATTTTGTAGATATTTTGTTGTTATAAGGCTTTATATGATAATTAGTAAGGATGACTAGGCAATATTTGTAATCCTCAGCTGTCACCAGTACCCTCCCTCTGTGTGCTAATAGATCGGTGGCTAAGGGCAGATTAAGGCTTCACTCAGCTGTGAAAATGCCCCTCAGCACCTCAGTTGTGACCCCCCCTTCATACACGCCAGTGTGTCTCAGTGTACGCTTCCTCTGGGATCTGCTTATCTGCCATTTGGGCCTCTTTTCGTGCACAAAACTGCACAGATAAAAGTCTTGCTTTTCTCCCTGTTGTATGTTCAGCCCGCAGTCAAGATAAACTCAAATGATGCCCCTTCACTGAAAGTGAATCGGCCCACCATTGTTTTTTTTAAGCTTCAGTAGTCATCTTTTTTATTTGATGTGTCTTTGTTGTATAAGTCTCTATTGTGATCTTAAGGATAATCCAAAATGGCTATGTTAGAATGAATGGTATCTACTTTTCTATTCCTTTTGAATATGTGAAGACATCCAGCCTCACTGGGCTTTCAAGTTTGGTTCTCCGTGAGGGAAGTTGGGTTAACAAATCTAGGACATTCACTTCACACTGCAGTCTTTACATTGTGCTAGTGAATTCTGCGGTCGGTGTCACTCCCCTCAGTTTCCAGTTGGATGTACAGACAGAGCCCTGGTTTGTCTTTCCCCAACAACCTTGCTGAACTAGGCTAAGACCAAAGATCAATTACACCTGCCACTGGCGTCTCTGCGGAAAGACCACATCATTCCTGTAGCGCAGCTCTTTCTCACTCCTCTCTGCTCTCTTTCCTGCTCTGGTCAAGCCAGTCCTATTGTTTACACGTGAATGGTTCCACAGTTTGATTTGTTGTGTGAATCATTTGTTTTCATGTCTCTAAGCCTATAGGATCTCTACAGTATTGGGTTGAACAGAAGTAGAATTCTTGTTATGACTTTTTTAATCAGACTTGAGGTTTTTCGTGTCATAGCACTTGAAAAGTTATACAGAGTTGGTAAGGCTATGAAAAAACAGCAATGTGAGAAATGTGAGTTTCTTTTTGATGCAAGGGCACATTCAGCAGGTTTCTTTGTCTGAGCTGATGACCAGCTGGTCTCACATCCTGCTGTCCCCCCTCCCCCAATCTGGTGGGACAGCGGGGTAATGGGAGGTGGGTGTGTGTGAGTGAGTATTTAGTTGTAGTAGGGGGGTGTATTTAATTCCCGGGATGGATTAACATGAGCAGGTGGAGCTCTGGCACCTCCACTAGAGGAAGTGAGCTGAGCTGTGCTTCACTGACCCAGGGACCTCTGGGGATCTTAGTGCAGGAGCCATCCATCCACCCATGAACACCAAAGTCAGGGCTGACATGCGGTGTCAGGTGGGGAAGAAGCAGCCAGAGTCCCAGGGAAAACAGCTGTTCCCCCTGGAGACCCCTGCGCGGTGTAGATGGGTCTTCTACTTTGTTCTATCTGACAAGCAAACACACATCCTCCGCCTTCCGTCCCGTTCACTTTGAGAAATAATGCATTCCTTCCTGAGAAATGGCTGCGGTGTGTTTTGTCAAGAACCAGTCAGTGTCCCTTAGAATTCAACCCCTGCTTTATGTATCCAATCTACAGTAAATCAACATCATTTTGGTCATTTATTCATTGTTTCAAGTCTGAATGAGAATGTTAAACACAATCTATATGAATGGCTTGAGCCCTTTTGTGACAGGTGTTTTTCACTTGTTCAACAATACATTATCAAATAAAGTTTAACAGATTAGTAAACAATGGAATGAGATATTTATCAAAGGTTGAACACCTACTTGAGAAAGTGCTGTCCAGCTCATAGTCCCATTATTATAATTAGGGGTGCACCGAATGGGAAATTTTTGGCCGATACCGAAAATAGGAAACAGTTGGCCGAAAACCGAATGCCAAAAGGCCGAAAATGATTAATAGAAATATATATATATATAATGTATACATTTTTTACCAATGTTGTTCAGCTACCTGATTATGGAAAAAGACTTAACTTAACTTAAATAATAATCACTATTATGGGTCCATAAAACATTTATTCAGCACTTTTGAATGCATCCAGTACATTAATTA